GACACAATTGTAGGCCTGCTGGCAACACTGACAATCATCAGCGCAATCAAAACAGAGGATAGGTTTATGATTCTTTGAGTAAACTCCCAATTTTTAGAACTCACTACAGTGTCTGTGTCATTCTCCTTCTCTTGTCTCCCATTTGAAGCATGAAGCAAACATTTTTGGACACAGTGCTGATTGGCATCATAACTCTCGGTGTCTGGGACGCTGCTTCTGGCTCAGAATCAGTCTGTTTGTAGCTCCATATGTCACTAGGCTGCTTGAGATTTGTGGGCCATCATCAAGTGATACTTGCAAGACGCTTGCAAGGAGTGGCTTCAACGTCTTTGCATTTCTCTTCACTTTTTTTTTTTTTTTCTTCCACCACAGCTTTCACTTGACTTTTTTTTTTTCTCTGGGCTCATCAACTGTGCAGAGAGACCAGTAATCGTGCTCTTTCATGTGGCTGGGATCCTTTCACAATCCAAACGCTTACCATTTGTTTGTGTCTTTTGCTGCCATCTCTCCCACTCCTGACTACGACAGATTTAAATGCTCTTTGGGACCTCACACGCAAATGAAATAACATGGCGGCGACGGCAGCCATGGATGCAATTATCTTTCTTTTCAGTCTTCCAGGCTGCAAATCTCACCCGTCGGCTAACATTAGAGAAGATGAGATAACAGTGAGAAAGGAGAAGGACTAATGAAGTTTGGCTTTAGTTGTTCTGTGTCCAACAGTTGCTGTTTGATCTCAAAATAACTTTTGTGAAAATAGATGATTTTGATATTATTATAGGCTATGTTATGATTTATGAGATTTTTGTATGGTATAGAAAAATGTAGCCTACAATAGTCTTTTAGTTGGCTTGTGTCATTTCCTGGTCTTATTTTCATTTCTAATTTGTCGTTGTCGTCTGTTTGTCTATGAACACCCTTAGAAGAAAAGGTTCCAACAGATGCTATAGAAGAATAAGTTTTGTTTCCCCAAAGATCCTTCCAGTGAACTGTTCTTTAAAGACCCACTGAAAAGTTTCTTTAATGGCATACAGAAACTTTCTTTTTAAGAGTTAAAGCCTACTGTCTTATCAACATATAGTAAATATGTTTATAGCCCATAAATATAATTTTTTCAATTCAATAGCATAGAGTTGTTACGATTTTGAATGTATTAAAATATTCTCTTATGCTTACCAGTATGGAGTTTTTGATAGAAAGTCAAAAATAAACGTGCAATCCTGGATCACAAAACCAGTCAAAAGTGAAATTTTTTAATATTGAGATTCATACATCACCTGAAAGCAGAATAAATAAGCCTTTCATTGATGTATGTTTGGCTGAGATACAGCTGCTATTTGAAAATCTGGAATCTGAGAGTTAAAAAAATCCAAGGAAAATCTCCTTTAAAGTTGTGAAAATAAAGTGTCTGGCGTTACATTTTACGTTTTGGTGTATTTAAAGTATGTATTTAAAACCTTCGCAGAAGATGATATGCATAATCTAAAAATCTTTGGTGTAAAAGACAAAATTATAAATGTTTGCTATTGTCAAAAATACACCTGTGCGACTTAAAGACTGCTTTTTTGTCCAGGGTCATATGCACTACTTGACAAAAGTCTTGTCGTCGAACCCAGTTGTAAGAGTAACAAATATTAACTTGACTTCTAGTTGGTCATTTAGAAAAGTGGCAGAAGGTAGATTTTTCAGTTGAATCATCTCATTTATTTCACTGTATTGTGAAATATTTCAATTAAAAATAGCCAGAATTAAAATACAACATTCACTTTTGGGGCCATGATGTCCTTAACAACACATCATCTTACAATGACATATCCTACAAAATATCTAAAATCCATTACCCTATTTTATAGCTTATAAGTATTAAATACTGTTTATATATGAATTTAGATTTGTTGTCTGGGCCTAACCATCATTAATGTAATCCCAGAGAGAGACAGCTTTCTTAACCGCTCACAGTATCTTTTCCCAAATCAATTTCAAAAATACATGACTTGCTGCAATGTGCCAAAATTGCAATCGAGTTTGTCTACAAATTTGATGTGTACATTCTTACCATAAATAATCTGTTGATGTCAATACCAGCAGTAAATCCCACACACAGCTCCTCAAATCTCAAGCAATCTTCTTCAGAGTTGAGACCATATTAATGGTGAGCCAAAACCCGACCATGCTGAAGAATAACAAAAGCATAAATTACTGAATCATGGAAGAGACACAAAGCTGTTCAAATTCCCAAATGGGATCATCTTTGAGCTCTATGGAGTGATTTATCTACTGTACTGACTGTGTCAATTCATATTGATTCACCAAAGTGAATTCAAGCATTCTTATGAAAAATATGCAGATAGTACAGCTGCTGAATGACATGTGGCCCACATAAAGAAGCTCACTATGACTTCAATAAAACATCATTAATCTTGATGGTGCCACACTTGGATATTGGGTAAATGAGGCCTGACATAGATGATCAACTCCTTTTGAGCTGATATGTGCTTTTGACTGATAATGCAGAGATGATTATTCTGAGAAAACAGACATCTACATAAAAGACCAAATTCAGAAAGGCATACATGTGAGACACATGCATGTGTGCAGCTTTGCGTGTTTGTGGGTGGCTGCATCACTCTCGATTGTCATTTTTATACAGCCTCATAGAAAGTCCCATTTTTCCTGTCAGTGCAAATAAATTCCTTACTCCTCAGACGAAAGGGTTTTCTTACCACTCCATTTTGTGGTGAGACTATAGCACACTAAATAGTGGGGCAACTTAAGCTTGTGGCCTTCAGACATACCGAATCAGGAAAGAGAGTATCCCTACATGCTAAGCAAGACATGATCTTTTTATAAAAAATTGCTTATATTTCAAGCCACTGAGTTATATCCCCCCAGAATATTGATATTATAATAATATATCTTTGTGTTATCCTTAGACATTAAAATGCTAATAATATATGTTTAATATTAGTGTCTCCATGAAGGAGATGGCTTTGGTGGAAAGTGAGAAGGTACTGTGTTTCACTCACCCTCAAATTGGTTATTATTGAAGCTATAGCCACCATCAGTGAGAAATATTCAGTATGAGGAGCTCTTGCCTAATGTCACAGCACAGCTGTGGTCTCTGCCTGGCCTCTAGTGGAGCAAACTTATACTTCAGGTTGTATTTGCAGCAGGTCAAAACCTCTATGCTGATTTAAATTCTTTTATGTTTTATTGGGGGTTCAAGCATAGAACTTAAATTTGTTAGGCCAATTGTCTGAAGGGGAGGGAGACGCTTTTGCAAAAATCTCCCTTGTCTAAAACAGAATGAGATTAGGCATGGGCTTGGATAAAAATATCACGGTATTGTGATTTTACTGCTCTAAAGTATATATATTTTAAATGTCTGGGTAAAAAACAAAAGCTTTTTTCTTCTTTGAAAACAATAGATTTTGTTTTTTTGAAAGATTTATAATACTTTGGAACTGTAAACATGTCTGGCTAAATAATTCAAATGAATCATTGACTTCTGCTGTCTTCATTAGTTTCAACAACACAAATTTCTTTACAATTTAAAATGGCATCTTTGAATATTTTCTCTGCTGAAGATACTGTTGTCTTAAAAAAACAACAAAAAATAAATAAATGTAAAAATCTTATACATACTGTAGGAACGGTATTACAGAGAGTTTTGGCGGTTTTAAACACTTGACTTTTCCAAACCGCGGTATTCCTTGAAAACGGTTATCGTCAAATGCCTAAGTTATTATCACCAAAATTGGAATGAGTATGTTTAAGCTTGATCTAAGATAACTGAAAAATAAAGTATTACAGTTTTGCAACACAGTGGTGCTACAATTTGAATAAGAACACCATGATACCGGCTCTAATTGAGTGACTGCTGGTTTGACTAATAGTATTGTTCTGCACGACCGAAGAGGTTTGAACGCATCACTTGGACCCTACCCTAGTTTTAATCCTTTTGTTCCAGATCCTTCCATTAACGATGAATTATATAAAGTAATATAATCTAATGTAGATTTATATAGTGCATTTATAAAGCATTGCAATATACATAAATGTCTTTACAATAATGTGGGGGGATCTCTACACACCACCACCAGTGTGCAGCATCCACCTGGATGATGCAACAGCAGCCACAAGACAACGGTGCTTTACCCCACACACCAGTTGCAGGTGAAGTGGGGAAACCATCAACCAATAAAATTTTAGAACCTATTAAACAAGGTTAAGTGTCCAAATGGAACAAAACTTGTTGGGTTTGTTCAACTCATTGAACTAGAGGTTTGTGAGGAATTCGAAAGAAATTGGTCACTGGGACGATACCACAATCAAGTATTGATTGCAATATTATGACACAGTTCCACGGTTTATTCCACTTTGGTGGCCCTGATAAATCAGGGACTTAGCCGAAGTATAGTGACTGAGATATTCTGATGCTGTAAAACTAAGTTAATCTATCTATCTATCTATCTATCTATCTATCTATCTATCTATCTATCTATCTATCTATCTATCTATCTATCTATCTATCTGTCTGTCTGTCTGTCTATCTGTCTGTCTATCTGTCTGTCTATCTGTCTGTCTGTATATTTATCTATCTATTTGTCTGGCCGTGTGTCTATTCGTCTGTCTGTCTGTCTGTAACAAAAGGCAAATGCAGTAACATATAATCCAATAACACAATTTTTGTATTGTGTTTCCTCTTTTTGTGCTATAAATGTGCCTTATGTGGCATATAATTAAAAGTGCGTTTTCTTTTTTTTCATATTGTTACAAAGTTTTAGTTCTGAATGAGTTTTGAGAAACGACACCAGTATTATGAAACAAGCTCCAAATGTATTTGGCTTAATAAATATCTGACGAGTTCCTTCTTTATAAATGTAATATTTAACAAATGTATTTTTCAGGCGTTATTTGAAGAAAAAAATGTTACCTGCATTTATTTGTAGATGAGTTCAGGCACGAACACAGACACCTACAAGGGTCCTTCAGCGCTTCTGCATTGTTAAGACGAAACTCGCGGAGCTGCTGGAGTTGCCGGGGAGCGTCTGTTGTACTTAAAGAAAATAACATCTAAAACACTGAAATCCAACTGTGTCATACAAATATATCTTTCAAAACATTGAAAGCAAAGGTAGGATGCCACGATTTTAAGAATTGTCAATATTCTGCATCCGCGAAAGCGATGACCAGATGAAGCTAGCGGCTAACGCGTACAATCCGCTAACTCTGAGAATCTAACAGCACGCGATTAAAGTTTGATCCTCCAACAGCACTTTTGTGTTTATATGTTTACGTTTGTGCGCCATATGCAAACTAATTATTCAGACCGTCTGTTCTGTGTTAAAATGTAATGGTTTCTGGAGTTGAAGGATGTGATGCTGGCCAGCAGTCTAGTCTGACCGTCCGGCCAAGAGGAAAGATTTGAGTCTGCTAGACTTTAAAGCGTTTTAAGGTCACTTTGAATTATACTAGATATGCTGGAAATATCGCGTTCTCCTTCTGCTTTTGTGTGAATGAGTGGCATTTTTTAAACCAGAGGTGATGGTTTAGAATCGAGTGTTTATCTCGGACACATGTTCTGTGTCTTTATTTGGGATGACGAATAGACCTTTGTTTACTCTCTGGACCAAGTAATGCAGGCTTTAATTGTTGATAGTTTTAAATGAGCTGAGACCATGTCTGATTCTTGTTGACCTGTGTGGTTAGTGTGTCATTGAATACCTTTACAGTATATACTAAATAAATAATATTATGACTACAGATAATCTGTATATTTCTCTTGGCAAATTAATTAAAGTTTAAAGATTATTAATCCCTTTGGGACAATTCATTTTGACATGGTGGTGCTTCACATATAACAAGAATGACACACTTAAAACAATAAACACCCAACACTTAACATCAAGTGCACAAACAAAAAGGAGAAAAAAATCAACAATAATAATTTATGTAGTTTGTTAAATAATTAATAAACAATAATGCCATCAGTGACTGGAAACAATGCTGTTATTTTTTGCTACCAATATATAAAATTTTTAAATTCAATATTTTAGCTATGAATAATCTGTGGATTTATCTTTACAGATGCCACCACTGACAATGATGTTATTTATTTATTGTTTTCTTCCCAGTATTAAATATTATGACAACAAATAATCTTTGGATGTATCTTTACAGATGCCACCAGTGAGGGCTGGTGACAAAGCTGTTATGTTTTTTCTTACTGATTAGAGATGTAAAAATTCACCTGACTTGCGTTTCGATACGATTCACGATACAAATCTCACGATTCATGATTTAGTTACCATTTTTTAACAAAATTATTTGAAACAAATTTAACTGTCTCTGGCATAAAAAAAATTTAGTATAAAATGACTAATTATATAGTAGAATAGAGACAAGAGTTGAACATGATTATGATGGTGAATAATTAACATTACTTGTATAATTGATTAATATAAGTATCAGTGTGATACACTTAAGAAGAGATAATCTTCAACATTTTTAAATATTTAGTAATAATAAGCATATTATTAAAATATGCATGAACTAATAAAAAATGAGAGGGTCAAAATAATCTAATACCTGGTTCTGTAACAGAATAACTTTCTCTATCAGTCTGGAAAACATCTTCACACTTTCACCATGCAAACACTGATGCACTGTGTGATCTTCGTAGCACACGTTGAAGCAAGCGAAGCTGCAAATCATCCAGTCCATGTGGTTTGGCTTATTAATAGTTTTTCGCATATAGAAATCTGTGACAGTAGTTTTTCACCGTTTATGCTCATCATAACCGTTGTTCTGTTAAAGTAAACGTCTTTTGCAGTATTTGCGCACAGTTTGTGTTTTGTCTGGAGCAGTTTACCGCTGTCATATTAATCTGCCACCCTTCCTCTGGCTCGCCACTGATGTGCAGATAAAGCGAGTTTGCACCTGTAAGCACAGCACCCTCTCTGTTCATTTAACATTTCTACTGATTTAAATCGTCACATATTTGAATCGATTTTCAACCGACTCACGGTGACTTGTTACATCCTATCACTAAAATTATATCATATGACTACAAATAATAAGTGAATTTATCTTTACAGATGCCACCAGTGACTGCTTGTGACTATAATGTTTTGATTTATTTTATTTGGGTGCATCTTTACAGATACCATCAGTAACTGCTGACGACAATGCTGTTTTTTTGTTTATTTATTTTTGCAAATTTGTTGCTAATTAAATTAAATAATGACTACAAATAATCTTTGGATTTATCTTTACAGATGCCATCAGTGACTGCTGGTGACAGTGATGTTTTTTATTTGTTTATTTATCTATTTGTTGTTACTAATCAATATTAAATAATGACTACATCTTTATATTTATCTTTACAGATGGCACCAGTGGCCGTTGGTGACAACGTTGTCATAAAATTTTTCTGCTACTGAATTATTACTGATCTAAATCAAATAATTTGACTGCAAATAATCTTTGGATTTATCTTTCCAGATGCCATCAGTGACCGCTGGCGACAATGCTGTTCACTCTTCCAGTCCGGATTTGGGCTCTGCACCATCTGAAGCCCTCAAGCAAGTTCTTGTTGTAATTGACAAGAAAGTTCGCAATATGGAAAAAAGAAAGGTTGGTGTTAATGTTAAAATCAACCTGACCCCATTAAAGTACTTGAAGGTGTAGAATATACCTCCCTTCAGGCCATAGAAGATGCAAGTGATTTGTTTTTCTCCAGCTGGATATTTAGAGAGGATTTAAATAAACCTGTGGTCCTTGGTGATTCATAAAATGTAAATCAATGGTGACTAGCACTCGTACGAACACACAGGCAAAAGAAATTGAATACCTCTGGCTCCTTAAAGTACATAGAGGTCAGATGAACCTAAACGATTGGTTTGTGGAAGAATCTGAAGATTTTATCATCTTTAACCCACAGCTGCTGCATCACATTATTGTCATTTTGAATTCCAAGCTTCCTGTTGAATACTGATGTGTGTATGTGAATGCATTCTCGTACTGACTCTTTTTGGAATGATGAGGGAGAGCAATAAAAAAAAAGTTATATGTACACTGTAAACTCACAGCATCATCTTTTTAATTATTAATCTGGTGTCATAGAGCATTAGTTTATTAATGTAAAAAATCTGAATAGGTTTGTGTCTAATATCTTTGCAACACAATGGAATGGCATAAATGCATTCTTTTTTTATGTGTCTTTAAAATATTTTGCAAGACCTGTCTACATTTGTTATTACAGCCTTTTTTGTTTTTTCAATTAAATTCCAGTTTACTTGTATATCTCATTTCAAAACAATTATCAAGTTATACTAAATCAGAAATGTTAAGGAGCTGTGTATGGTAGGCAGTAAATAAACATAGTTAACATGCATTTATACAGCATATAGTGGAGGTGGTTTACACAGTACAGACCAAAAGTTTGGACACACCTTCTCATTCAAAGAGTTACGTTATTTTCATGAATATGAAAATTGTAGATTGACACTGAAGGCATCAAAACTATGAATTAACACATTTGGAATTATAAACATAACAAAAAAAGTGTAAAACAACTGACAATGTCATATACTAGGTTCTTCAAAGTAGCCACCTTTTGCTTTGATTACTGCTTTGCACACTCTTGGATTTCTCTTGATGAGCTTCAAGAGGTAGTCACCTGGAATGGTTTTCACTTCACAGGTGTGCCCTGTCAGGTTTAATAAGAGGGATTTCTTGCCTTATAAATGGGATTTGGACCATCAGTTGTGTTGTGCAGATGTCAGGTGGATATACAGATGATGGTTCTACTGAATAGACTGTTAGAATTTGTTTTGTAACAAGAAAAAAGCAGGTAAGTAATGAAAAAAAGAGTGGCAATGATTACTTTAAGAAATGAAGGTCAGTCAGTCCAAAAAATTGGGAAAATTTTGAAAATGTCCCCAAGTGCAGTCACAAAAACCATCAATTGTTACAAAGAAACTGGAGGAAGACCAGGAGTCACCTCTGCTGCGGAGGATAAGTTTCTGATAAGTCACCAGCCTCAGAAACCGCAGGTTAACAGCAGCTCAGATAAGAGACCAGGTCAATGCCACACAGAATTTAGCAGCAGATACATCTCTAGAACAACTGTTAAGAGGAGACTGTGAATCAGGCCTTCATGGTAGAATATCTGCTAGGAAACCACTGCTAAGGAAGGCAACAAGCAGAAAAGACTTGTTTGGCCTAAAGAACACAAGGAATGAACGTTAGACCAGTGAAAATCTGTGTTTGGTCTGATGAGTCTAAATTTGAGATCTTTAGTCTCAACTACCGTGTCTTTATGCGACGCAGAAAAGGTGACCGGATGGACTCTACATGCCTGGTTTCCACCGTGAAGCATGGAGGAGGAGGTGTGATGGTGTGGCGGTGCTTTTCTGGTGACACTGTTGGGGATTTATTCAATATTGTAGGCATTCTGAACCAGCATGGCTACCACAGCGTCTTGCAGCGGCATGCTATTCCATCCGGTTTGCGTTTAGATGGACCATAATTTATTTTTCAACAGGACAATTACCCCAAACACACCTCTAGGCTGTGTAAGGACTAGTTGACCAAGGAGAGTGATGGGGTGCTGCGCCAGATGACCTGGTCTCAACAGTCTCCGGACCTGAACCCAGCCGAGATAGTTTGGGGTGAGGTGGACCACAGAGTGAAGGCAAAAGGGCCAACAAGTGCTAAGCATCTGCAGGAACTCCTTCAAGACTGTTTTAAGACCACTTCAGGTGACTACCTCTTGAGCTCATGAAGAGAATGCCAAGACTGTGCAAAGCAGTAATCTAAGCAAAAGGTGGCTACTTTGAAGAACCTAGAATATGAAATATTTTCAGTTGTTTCACGCTTTTTTTGTTGCGTGTAAAATTCCATGTTAATTCAGTCTTAATGCCTTCAGTGTCAATCTACAATTTCATGATCATGAAAATAAAGAAATCTCTTTGAATGAGAAGGTTTCCAAACTTTTGGTCTGTACTGTATGTATAATATACTGTATCTTCAATGACATGCATTAAGTATTTATCTTCAAAGTTCTCAGATGGTTGGCATGATCTCGTCAAGTCCTTATAATGACAATGCAAAGTTCAGGTGAAAATGGCATCTTTAATATTATAAGCTTGTACTACTATCACAGGCATTTTAAATGTCCCAATATCAAAAGGCAAGATTAAAATTTGTCCACTAAGGATGAAACGATACCACTTTTTTACAAACTGATACGAGTACGACTACTTTAATTTGTGTACTATGTGTCTGATATTTTTTAGATTTGGTTTCAACAACAGTGCAATTAATTTGAGAGGAGGTTTTATTTTTACCTGTAGCAAGGAACACAATCTTTTACAAACCTATTCCAAGCCAAAAATATACACATTGTTGATAACCCTGTAAATCGATAGACCTTAACGATTAATGATTAAGCATGGACATTTAAAGGATAAGTTATCCTTGCACTGACACACGTCCACGACTTCACACATTACATAATCAAGTGTGTGCAGTTTACATTACCTTCACTCTCTTGACATTGCATTATTATGCAAGTATTTTTTTGCATGTTCGGTTTATTCTTCAGTAGCCTATAGATTGTTTAATAATGTATTTTATAAACATTGTTTATAAGGACTAATCTATTAATATATAATACATTCATTAATTAATACATCAAAACATTGAAGTCAGGACAACAACATGTACGATACGAGTGCGAGTATTTTAACCTAGTATCAACCCGATACTGGTATCGGTATCAGTGCAACCATTTTGTCCACCCATCTGGAGACCTATAAATCAAGAAAATAATCATAAGTACAAAGAGACAGATTAAAACACCAGGTATAAATGGGAATCACTTAGCTGCCGAGCTGATTTACAAAACTGCATCTTAATACCAGGCGGAAACAGAATGCAAAAATGTGATGCAGTAAATATTCTAGTTTGGGAATTCATTTCCACAACCGTTTAAAATTATTTGCTCCATTTCTTTCTTGAAGTGACTTTTTTTTTTAATAGTTCACTGTGGAAAAGCATTTTTATATTCTAAATGAATATCCAGTTTCACTTGGAAGTGTTTCCTTATCATTTTTTTAAGGAATTTCATTGACTTTGTATTTTGAAATAATTGAGTTTGTATTTTAAGCTTGACAAAAATACTCGTTTACCTGTTTGCTTTTGGTCGTTGCAATTGAATCTACTTTTTATTGTTCTCTTTTGCTACTCTCTTTTAAGAGTAAACTGGATGATTACCAGACCAGGAAGGACAAAGGAGAACGTCTCAACCAGGATCAGCTGGTACGTGGCCTATATGCAGGTCTTGTCTTTTTTGTGCTCAACATATCTGGAACTGATGCTTTGTGTTAAATGCACATGCTGCTTTGTTTCGTATGTGTAGGAGGCTTTATCTAAAGCTCCGGAGGTGGCTCACAACTTGGACTTTGCCCGTGAGTTGCAGAAGAGCTTCCTGGCTTTAAATGTGGAGGTATGTCATGTTTTTGATTTATAGTTTAACCTAACATCATCTTGCTTTGTACTTGGTGACCACCCAGCCTCAGCATCTTCATTGCCTCTACATTTGCTGCCCCCTTCTAGTCCAAAACGCTCAAATGGTAAAAATTTTGAAATCCAGCCTTTTGTGTGTAGAAAATATAACTATTCTATTAACTCAAGATAATGGTGATGTTGTTGTTTATTCAAGATGCTATATTGGCCATTTACTTAGAGAATACGCTCCAAAGTGTAACTATTACAATAGTCAACAAATGTTTTTTTCTTTTGCAAAGCCATATTTTTATGTTACCAGGCAATGATTTTCATCTGGATAGTCTTTAAATTATTTTTAAATGTAAATCCTTTTAGAATTTTTATCAAAGTAAAGTTTTAGATTTGTATTTTATGAATTAATAATTGTTGTTGATATATTTTTATTGTGATAAACCACTTTTTTAGGGAGCGCGCACACTCTGCACACACCCACGAAGGCTCGCGCACACACGGAGACACACACAATGACAGAAACAAGTGCTCGACCCAAGATAACTCGAGCCGAGCACAACAGGACTAGACATGACTAGTGTCCGGACTCTGCCACCAAAACAAGAATTTACATGACCAGAGTGGCAGAACCCTGACAAAAATAGCCAAAGAAGCTGATTTGGCTGTAAACTCAAAACTCTCTCTAGCCCAAAACAATTGATGCAGTGCAACGGTCCATGCAAATTGTAAATGTTGCAGGACACACCAAAAATTTCCCTCTGTTCACTTACAGATCCAAAAAACAGTGAAAAAGGCAACCCGGCGGGAGCAGTTGAAGAGGGAGGAGGCAGAGCGCAAGCGACTGAAGGCCGTGTTGGAGATCCAGTACCTGCTGGAGCAGCTAGGGGAGGAGAATGTGAGGCAAGAGCTGACTCAGTCCACCGGAGAAGCCTCTTTGCTCACAGAGGCCGAGCTCATGGGTTTGGATGAGTTCTACAAGCTGATTGGGCCTGAGCGGGACTCTAGCGTAAGGTGAGGACATTTCTCTTCAGCTGTTCATGTTCAGATTTGGCGTGTTCTTATCAAAATAACCTTTGATCGCAGGTTGGCTGAGCAGTTTGATGAAGCATCCGTGCATTTGTGGGAGCTTTTAGAGGGAAGGGATAAAGCTGTGGCTGGAACCACATGTAAGTAACTTATTCTGGTGGTATTTTTTTAAAAAGTCTGTTTGAAACAGAAGGTGAGAATTAAAATGTTTTTAAGGTTATTTCAACATCACCCGTGCAAGTCCGCTTGACAGTCATTTTAGGGCTACATTTGGACCTAAAACTAAATATTTTGTAACTTTGAATCTGTTTTAATTCATTGTTAACTGATATTTTGTTACTAGCAGGTTCTATAAAAAATCCTATAATGTGTGTTGAGATCATGCATTATGGTAGATTCAATAATACATTACATTAAATTGCAGAATACATTTGATAATTATGTGTATTTTGATGTGTATAAGGAGAAAGATACATACCAAGACAATAAAAATATATTTAAAATAAATCTTTATTTTTAATTTTTGGGACCTTATTTATTACATATAAATTACATACTGAGACAATAAATTATATTTAAAACAAATTTTTATTTTTGGGCCATTATTTATTACATAAAAATTATTATTATTGTTATGTCCTTTTAGTTTAGTTTCCTTTACAGTAATTTCAAGGCTACATTTGGACTTTAAAAGTTGTACAAAAAATAACCTTGACTTTATTTTTCTTACTAGCAGTTTCTGTGGAAAAATCCCCATAATATGTGTTAAGGCAATGCGTTATTTTAGATTTAATAATACATTACATAGTACATTGCAGAGCATTAGTAGAATAAATTTCATTAAAAAAAACTGTATAGTTACTCGCACCCTGTGTATAAGGACAAAGATACTTATGAATATATTTTTAAACCATCTTTAATTTTACTTTATTGGGTTATTATTATTAATATCCTTATTATTTATTATAAAGTTTTATCATTAATTTAGGTATGTTGGTAGCTTTATCTAATAAACAACCTGTTAGCGAATAGATAGATGCAAAACTCACAATCTTATGGTCCCCACCTAATTTTGATCATGATATCAAAAATGAATCACAATTTACTGTGGAAGCAAAATTCTATTTACATGACTCCTAATACAAAGGGACCTGTTTAAGCGTCAGTTCACCCAAAAATGAAAGCTTGCTTACTATTTCCTCACCCTCAGGAGGTTCCAAACCTTTATAGGTTTCTTTCTTTTGTTGAACAAAATGAAAGCTATTTTGAAGAAGGCTGAAAGCTTTTGAGGTAGAATAAATGAGTTAATTTTTATTTTTGAGTGACCTACACCTTTAATGTATTTAAAAAGAAATAATTTGTAAAAGTTATACTTGTAATTCACAGTTTCCTATAGTCATTTCTGTTTATTCATTTTTTTTTTCAATTGCATGCACATTCATCAAATTGTTGAGCCATTTCAGCTCTATAATGAAACCAATATTTGCTCTCCAGTGCATCTGAATACCAATGTGGCAATCCCTTGCTTGGCCTCCCTATGAATGGTGGCACTTGCAGTGGCTTTTGAAAGCTGTGCTCTGTCTCGGGCCCATGAGGGTCAGCAGAGCTTCGTGCTGACTTGTGGCCCACGTCAGCAGCTGGGCAGGCAGCCAGTGGTCATGCACAAAGCCTCTCGACTGGAGGTTTCAATGATGGACAGTCTCTGCTTGCATATTCCTACTGAGAGGGTGGCAATCGTGATAGGATCCGATTCTGCAAACTCAGCAAATGAGACGTGGCTATATTTGTTTGCTGGCATCGTTGCAGTTTTGGTTTGCTAAAATGATTCCAAATTAAGTTAACATCTGCAGTCAAGCTAACTTGGCCATACCTTTAACCAGTAATTAATTATTTTGTTTTCTTTGTGTCTTTATCAGACAAAGCCCTTAAGGAAACCTTGGACAAGATGCTGCTAAGTGGGTACTTTGATCGTGCTCCAACACATCAGAATGGAGTGTGTGAAGAAGAGACGGGAGCCACAGTGGTGGAGTCATCAGAGAGCGAGGAACATCCTGCTGAGCCAGGTAAAAACAAAACCCTCACATTTCTGAGCAAAGCAATGCTTCCCTGCATGGCTGATGGCTCGTGTTTATGTTCTTTGTTTGTTCACAGAGGGAGCTGCTCAGGAATACTCAGAAACTGAGGTTGAAGCAACAGAGGTGTGAATTGATATCACATTTTTCACACGCTGATGATGATGAAAGCACATTCGGATTTAACCTTTATAACATTTAAACGCTCAACATTCTGTTTCAAAATAGAAAGATACTTATTTGGAAAATTCCAACAGAAAGAGTTGCTTTCGGTTCCAGCTTTATCATTTCATTTTTTATTTATTTAAAAGTCTTTCCTCAAGTCATTTGTTGTGACTAAATTTGGTCAAGCTAACAAAACATTTGCAATTTGATGAACTATTTGTGTTGGGTTTTAGGTCTTGAGGCAAATAAATCAACAAAATGGCCCTCAAATTTTTAATTGCCCCTCACTTATTGCCATAATTGCCGAGTGCCTTCGTGTCCCATTAGTGACTATACAGCCATATCGCACTGCTACGAGTATGATATTGTGTTTATACAACAGTTTGACGGCATAATCGTGTATAAATAATAAAGAAAATCAAACTACTTTTCTACAAGGTATTACTTCTGCCATTCATTCACATTAATGCAGCTGATCGTCAAAACAGCAGAAACTGTTACTTAAAAACACGTCACTTTTTAGAGCTAGTATTTGAATGATTGTCTAGAATAATGTCTGAAGTGATGATAAAACAGGTGATTTTGTTGACATTTTAAGATTATAAGACTTAACAACATGAAATGGCATCAGTCTACAGAGATTTCTCAGTATTTCTCTGTTGCAATCGGGAGATCACAATAAATAACCCCAGAAAAGGCAGAGCAATGCAAACACTAGCAGATTACTATGGTTTAAATACAGCACTAAAACATACAAAAGAGAGATGGATTTAGAATGTCACTTACCTGTCTTGTAATGGCTTGATCAGCTGTAGTTTGAAATGCAAAATAAAAATGCTGAAATTTTCTTCCCTAGAGACTTATGCGATCTTTGTTGCTATCTTGTTGCACAATTGTCTTTGCTCAGTATGGCAGGCTGATGGTTGCCAATCTCAGAAATTATAAATATTTAAAATAGGCATTATCCTTATTACCAAACCGCATAGTTGCAATTTAAACAATTACATTTTCACCTAAAAAGCCTCAAAAGTACGATATGCTGCAAAAAAGCTGCAATATTTGTCAAACTGTTGAGACTTTATTGATGTGCTGTCACTGTGTTGGTGGAGTAATACACAAGAATAAAGAGGCAATCAGCCAATCAAACAAGACAGAACTGTTTATTTATATATAAACGCGTGCGCGCGACTGCTTAACGTGTGCGCGCTCCCGAATCGTGAAGCAACCGTGTCCGTTCTGAAAACGCTACTATCATTGGTTCTCTTTCAAATAAACTAGACAATAAGTGATGAATAGTTATTGTTGAATGAATAGTGATAGTTATTTTTTAAAAAGTCAATTGCTTTTCTTTCTTTTTTACGAAATGTTTTGTTAAATAAAAAGTATAGTATACAGCTATATTTTGCTTGTTTTGACACATAAAAAAAAAATTTTTGCTAAAAAATAATTATTGTTTAGTTTGGTTATAGAGATAAATTTGGTAAATTGTTAATTTTGAGCTCTAAAAAGTCATGTGAAATAAAAACTAATTGCAATATAACACTATGAAACCATAACTCATTGAGCAAGCTCATACTCGACACACAAAAAGAGAAATGAATGAGGACGCATGTCGACATAACACAAAATTTAAATCAAGTAATTTTAGCATGTCAACGTCAAATTTATGCATACAAAGTATATTTTCCCAACAACCAAATTGTGGCTAGTGAAAATGCAGCGTGGCTAGTAACATTGGAAAACTACTAGCCACAGTGGCCGGTGATTAAAAAAGTTAATGTAAATATATATATATATATATATATATATATATATATATATATATATATATATATAAACCATTAGCCATTTAATAAAATGGCAGTTTTTAATGGCTGCAATAAACCTACTATTGTTTTATTGTAATTTGAAATTCACGCTTTTTCAAATAATTTGAAACATGCTGCGGCTTATGTATTCGTGTAACGTCTATAGTACACCAAACAAGAGAAACAAACTTAAATGGTAATGTGCATGTCTCGCATCACTAGTTTCAAATTCACTTAAAAATGCATTCATTTTGGCTTTATAATATTTGTTGTTTATACGGAATACAACAGGTTTATTTTCTCAATACTGTTACATTTAACATATGAATTAAATTAGAATGCTTCATTCTATTTAGAGTTATCAATAGCTTAATAGACATGTATTGAAAAATTATTTAATGAAATTGTAAAATGCAACTTTAAATGCACTTCTTTCTTCCTGCTAGTTTGTAAACAGACAGTTCATTCCAGAAGCTGCCTATAGCAGCAGTGAAAAAGAGCAAGGAGCAGAGTGGAACACAAGTTCTCAGGTAAGATGCACCTCATTTGTCAATGAAAGTTTGGAATTGGAAGCAACCCTTGGCCCAATTGTGTTTATTTTTGAGTTCACCATGTGATTTCCAGGTGGTTAGTGTCCTCCAGCAGCCACAGCAGCCTCCTGCAGCCATGAGCCCGACTCTGATGAGCTCAGATGCGCACACGCTGAACGCCGTCCTCCCTCCTCCTCCTGCAACAGATCCAGTGGTCCGAAAGCAGGCAGTACAAGATCTCATGGCGCAAATGCAGGGTACCTTTAACTTCATGCAGGTAAACTGGAGAATTTGTTCATTCATCAGACTTCAGTTGTATCAGTGAAGTTTTCCAACTCATGTTTAATGCAATGCAGGACTCAATGCTGGAGTTTGAGGGGCCGCCTTTAGATCCTGCCATTGTGTCAGCGCAGCCTATGAAACCCGCACAGATGGTCTGTCCACCAGGTTGGTACTTATAAGTTACTTTTTAAAGTTATATTGTTCTTTAAAGCTAATAAGAGGAAATTTATTTAAAAAGTGGCACAATTTGATACAATCTCATGCTGGACATCAGTTACATTTTCAGATTCATTTTGTTGAATGAATGAATGTTATTGATGTCCAGTGTCTCTGTAATATTTGATTTGAGAGAACCAGTGTTGTTTAGTATTTAACTGCTATTGTTGTATTTTTTTTTATTTCCTAATATATAGTTTTGTTTTACACTTTGTAAAATGCTGAGTTGTAACCCAATGTTAGTTTTTAAAATTGCACGTAAATAACACTTTTTAACCCAATATTTTGTAAATTGAAAAACAACATTATAAATAAAAAAAAAATAAACTAGGGTTGTCACGATGCTGGAATTCGATACCAATCGATACAAAAATTTTAAAAACATCTATTTCCCACTTACATTTAAGCACGTTCTTAAACGCTGTTGATTTGTTATTGTGTTCACGTGCTCAAAAGAAATGACTGTGATTGGCTGTGAAGGTTATCGGATAGCCAAATTTACCACTGTTTTCTAAATGTAATAGATACAGGGACACTGAAACATTTAAAAGCCGCGATTCATCAGCTGATCAGCTAATAGCTGATCGATGTATCAAATTGGTACTGAATTCCAGTATCATGACAACCCTATGATAAATCTTCAATAAAATAAAAAATAAATACTAATGTATAGGGCTGGGCGAATTGGCCTACAATTAATTGAACATTTTAACTGGATTACGATTAATTACTTTATTTATTTTATTTTTTTGCCCTCATAGTTCACTGACAGGTTTTATATAATAAATATGCTCGCATTACAAGTGCGAGATTTTGAGCGAAGGGTGCATTACTTGATTTAAAAAAAAATGTAGCAATAAATAAAATTGAAATAAAATAAATAGGACATCTCTAAATTTGAGGGTCCTGCAGTCTTATCTTCAGTTCAAAAAGAAAAACAACAACAAAGATGACTGACCAAAGAAATAACGTAAAGTCAAATTTATTTGACATTTAACTTTAAAGGTGACATAAAAATCTTGCGGTGGTATAGCTAAAATAACAAACAAAAAACTCAACAACTAAGTTTTAAACCCTCTTACATGAAATCAAACAAATAAATAACATTCACTTACCTCCCTACTAACCACAAAACATGATAAAACTTAAAAAATAAAACAAAAGGCACCCTCCTCATCACGTGTCTCCATATAGATTTCAATAAGTCAACACTCAAGAGTTAAATTTCAACAATATCGCAGAGCAATATTGTTGTTTTTCACAAATGAACAAAACAAGCCGGATGAGAGGAGACTCTCTGAAAGATTTCTAACTATTAATTTTGAACTATTCCAGTTTAAATTAACTTCACCATACATTTACATTGAACAACTGACATTAACACACACATTTTAATGTAATGGAAAATATTTCTTCTATTGCCTGCCATTGCTTTGATATAGAACACGATTTAAATCAGCCTTTAGTCTCGCTTATAAGAATTGCTCCTGTTGGTCATCAGCATGACAACCTGCGCTTGCATTTGTTTTAATCCAAGAATGCAATATCTAGATCAACCACTTGGTGTCAAACATACTGCACCTTAAATATGTATATTAATTCACTAATATTAATAGTAAAATTTTATACATAATATTTACATACATATTTACATAATAATTGACAAACTATTCTTTCTGTTTGTTTTTATGTTAATTTGTCACTTCTTTTTGTGTCACTGATATTACTCTTTCAATGTTTTCTACTCTCTAGAATCCCGACTCCCCCAACACAATGCTCTTTCTGTTCAGCCTGAGCCTACACAAGTAAGTCCAGTTACTAGCAGAAAAAATATTCTTTCAGATATGTTCTAAGAAACTTGTAAAAGTAGCTAAAACAATCATTTAATTGAACAATAATGCTTTTTTTTTTTAGCTTTGATATGGTGCAGGATTTTCTTCTTTCTTAGTTTTTTTTTTCATTCCCACCTGTGTTTGATGTGTGATGGTAATATTTAATTGACATTTTCTGTCCTTAAGCACTCTTCTGAAACCTTCTTTGTTTAATTGTCCAGGTCCCAATGGTCTCTGCCTCCACACCCCCGCTCTATCAGCCCGCTCATACCTCAGAGCCACGACCGCAGACGGACACCATTGACCCCTTACAGGTAACGTGGTAGATCGTAGTGGTTTTGCAGATGCTGTGTGTTCACTATGGCTTAGACATGTGAGTGATGTAGGATATACACCCTAGGTCTCCATGCCCCTGCCGTCTGAGCAGCCCCCCACCCCTTCCTCTCAGCCTCAGGTGTTTCAGCCCAAACCCCTTCACAGCGGCATCAACGTTAACGCAGCTCCATTCCAGTCCATGCAAGCGGTAGGCCTCAACCTGTCTACCCAAATTCACCCCCTCCCATGTTTGTCTCTCCATTCTGCTTCTGTTCTGTTTGTCATGCTGCTTAAGGGGCCCATTACACAGAACACATGTTTGCATTACATTGTGCTGCTTTCGCATTATTTGGGACAGTATTCACAGTAATATTTTAGTTTTTTACCCAGACGTTTAAAAAGAATATATTTTAAAGCAGTAATCACAATACCGTAAAACCATGGTATTTATATCCAAGGTTATCATACCGTCAGAATCTTTTACCGGCCCATGCCTAGTTCTGTGCTCGTCTAAGATAATTAGTCTACCGAAATGTGTATATTCTATACAAAGTGTAAGGCTGATTGGTCAGTTCTTGTCACATGACTTGCGTTGCATGCGCGGCATTCATTCAACTAGGCGTGAACACTTCGCACAAGCTGTTCTCCTCCATTTTAATTAACGAACTTGCATGCAGAATAAAAGCGCTATATGAACAGCCTCTAAAAGGCCGCCATCATTTACGATCCCCAGCAATTAATCTTCTTCTTGCACAGACATGGTGGATTTACCTGATTTGTTGACAAATGGGATCCATTTCTTGGCAGTTCTTGGGTCCTTCTCTGGAACTTTTCCTCTTTGCAAAGAAACTTTCCAAACATGTCTGTCACTCACTCATTTTACTTGCCTGTGGGTTAAATTTGGGTGTTCAAGTGACCTAGATATAAGCGAGAGAATACGTTTTTTTTTTTTTCAAAATAAACAATTGTTCAGACTCAGATAATAATATTGAAATAATTAACATTTCTTGTACGGAACAGTGCAGGTTCACGGCCCGGTGGTTGGAGTTTATTCTCATGGTATAATGAAGCAGAGTAAGGCTGAAAGCTGCAAAGTGAAAAAGACTTCCAGTTCCATTTCTTTTGGTTGTGATCACACAGGGGGAAAGTAATATCATACTAACACATGCTAACTACATTTTAGGGTTTTATTCTAATGCTACTCTGTGGTCTAATACAACACAACCTATTAAAGCGTCTTGTTACCTAGTTTTCTATAAAACCAAACTGGAAATTGAAAGTGACATCATTAGCATGGCGACGTACACAACACAGTTTGTGTCACTAGTTAAAATGCTGTACTTTTTGTGTGTTTTAACATTCTTTGAAACATTTGGAATAATAAGTGCATATTTCAGAAAATATCTAACATTGTTCTAGTGTTTTATGGATACTTTAACAAATCGTACATATTGTGCATTTAAATTGCTTATTGTTTGACTATCCCATACTTTGTATTTGTAAAGACAAAAAAAGCCCATTCTGTGTAACTGGCCCCTAAAGCCCAAACTCAACTTCTTTTTTTTTTCTTTTTTTTTTCTTGTAAGTTAGAATACTTCACCAGTATCCTTTAATGGGATACTTCGTTTGATAAAACATGAGCAAACATTGGAACATGACACATGCACACTAGAAGGTTCTCACATATATATGCTATACCATTTTCAGTACCACAGAGAAAACTTGCCAAGCATTAAGGGCATAAAATCAAGGTGAATTCAAGTCAATCTGCTGTGCGTTTTTTTGTAATGGTGTCTCAATCCAAATCACATTCACATTTTAGGAAGTCAAAAAGTTTGTGTGTTCTTATTGGTGTCTTTACGATAGAAATGTCATAGAAATGGACTTTAAATAAGAATGAATATTTCAAACGTATTTTATTTTTAGTTTAAGAAAATTATAATACTTGCATGTCTCTTTTTTTATTTAATGCTGAAACATGTGAACAGATTTTTTTACTTTCCCTGCCAAATTGTTTACTGACCAACCCCAACTAAAAATAAAAGAAAGGAAAACAATAAAAATGTTGGTTTTTAGTTGTTTTACTCATAAAACTGCATCATAACAAGCCACCTTAATTTCAAATACCAATGTTATTTCACAGTTCTGACACCCAATTTTTATATTAAATAATCTACTAGCCTATCTTCTATAATAGTATGTGATCAATACTGTTTTTTTCTATCTTCTATATCCTCTTTAATGTTCACTTTATTTGACCAAAAAGTGGAAATCAATATATTCCTTTAACATCAATAGATAAATAATAAATTGTTGTTTTTTCTCCTCTGTTAGGTGTTCAATATGAACGCTCCAGTTCCCCCAACCAATGAGATGGACTCTCCGAAGATTTCCAGCCAATATCAGAGTAGTTATGGTCAAGGCTTCAGCACACAAGCTGCCCTTCCAGCTGAACAGCAGGAAATGCCTCAAGAAGCCCTGCAGTCAGGTACAAAACTATTTCTGATGAAACTGTGCCGTTTTAGAGTTTCACATGTGCAAGATTATCTAAAAAGTTTCCCCTTTTTTGTAGTTGGCTCTTTCCAGTCTCAAGACCAAGGTATTACATCTGCAGGGGGACACCAGTCTGCACCACAGCAGCCCTCGGGACAGGGAACAGGATTTGGGCGGCCAGGCCAGTCTTTTTACAGCAACAGAGCAATGCCACGAACTGGACCCAGAAATCCCAGAGGCTCTTTGAATGGTTACCGTGGACCATCAAATGGATTTAGAGGTGAGACACGACTTTGTTGAATTGTAGCCAGAAACTGTAGTCTAAAATCCAGAATGAAGTTCTACAATCAATCAACCTTTTTTTTTTTTTGCATGTTTAGGTGGATACGATGGGTATCGTGCTCCATTCCCCAACACTCCTAACACCGGATACGGTCAAACTCAATTCAGCACTCCACGAGATTACTCCAACAACACCTACCAACGGGTAACTTCAGGACAACAAATAAAATGTAGTAGGATTGGGTGAAAAAATAAATGTACGTTTTAGTAGTGGTGTAACATCACAAATATGATGGTTCGGAGCACACTACAGTTTTTGAGTCAGGGATCGGGCCATTTTTGGCATCAGGAAAAAGGGAGGAGACAAATGTTATTTGCTTTTTATTTATCACAACTTTACTGCAAGAAATTTTTGGTTTTAACAAACATACACTACTGGTCAAAAGTTTGGGGTCAGTATGATTTTTATCAGTATGAACTCGTCTGATCACAAAAGCAATCCGGCTCCAGGTGAGCCACAGAGCAAGTTTACTATGCCTAAAAAAACCTAACACATGTTCTCATTTACAAATCGTGCACACTATAAAAAGTGATTATTTTTCTTTATATAAAGAAGTCAGTATACCTGCTGTAACTTGCACCTGTTAAGTTACCATAACTTAATTTTTATAACTATGCACATACACTACCGGTCAAAAGTTTGGGGTCAGTAGTATTTTTAAATGCTTAATTTATGTCCTTAAAAATACAGTACAAATTGTAAAACTGTGAAATGTTATTGCACCATAAAATAACTGCTCAAAAGTAGTTTATAATTTAATTTAATCATTTATTCCAGTGATTTTTAATAATGAATTTTCAGCTTTATTACTTCAGTCTTCAGAGTCACATGATTCTTCAGAAATCACTGTAACATTAATATTATTATTACTATTAATTGTAGTAGTAATAGTAATAAAAGCAATAATGACCGGAGTTATAATTTCATTTGAAACTCCATACAGTAAGAAAGCAGTTATTTAAAATGATAATAAATATTTAAATAAACAAAGAATTTTAAATAAATGTTTCAAACAATTTTAATAAAAAAAACAGCTGAATAAACAAAGGTAAAATATTTAATACTGTGAAAAATGATCTTTGCTACTGATGCTCATAACGCTAAATATATAAATCTAATATTATAAGGTTATACAACACATTTATTTTGTTAGTCTCATTTTCAGTAATATCTGTAGCTCACTTATAAAAATGTTGGATTTCATTACTAAATGTATCATTTTTGAAGAACTATTCAGTGGCATATTTTTGATGGTTAAACGATGTAATTGCTACAACTTTCAACAGCATCAAGTTGTATTAAACCGTGATTTTAATGTTTACCATAAACATAAGTGTTTATTTCTGAACTATAAATTGTTATCCCAGTACTTCTGTGTTATTTGTTTGTAACTAACTTGAAAAGTGTAAAAACTGAATCAAACAAAGATTTGAATGAAGTGCATTGAAGGATTAATAAACATGCTAGCCATCATCATGTATTATTTATGTTGTGTGGGTGTTTGAATTGAGATCCCAATTATTATTATTATTGTTTTTATTATTAATTATAAAGCTTTTTACTAAATGCATTAATTCAGGCTAAATAAGTAATGACTGAAAACACCTTTAAAAACATAAGAAAGCATTTAGGTGCCACCACAACTATTTCAGTCATCATTATATTTTACACGAAAGCCAAAATTCCATCTGAATGACGCAGAAATCGATCTCTCTGCGATTTGTTACAAATTTAGAATTAATCAACTTAAAGGTTAACGTGCGTTCGGAACCATGGGTTGTGATACATACAGAGCAACTGTGATTTGTTACACCCCTACTTTTTAGAGTACTATATTCAAGCCTTATTCATGAATAAATATATAACCAATCACCCATAATCAGAAAAATTACACATCCCTACAATGTAGGTTTTTCATGGAGATTTGACAAGTCATCTATGCATTACTGTGATCAGTTTTGTTCAAGTCCTGCATGTGTTTTGGTTGTAGGAAGGATATCAGCAAAGCTTCAAGCGAGGAGCTGCCCAGGGACCTCGAGGTTGCTCTCGAGGTAATACTCAAGCGATGCGATCCTAAAATCTTTGGGAAGACTTGTTTCTTTTTGGCCACTTTGAACATTCAATTATTGAGAATGTTTTCCCCAGCCCATATTTTTACTCCTATCAGTGGTTCCGTTTTGTTTTTTTTTTTTTGTTTTTTTTTTGTTTTTGCTGTTGGCTTATTGATACAAGTAAGCCTGCTTTGATAGTTTTAATATACTAAAAAGTGTTTTACAGAGACCCAATGGAGAGCTGAAAGTGTCAGTGTTGTGAATTTTCAGCCAGGTCGTGTTTAAAACATAGATATTCCTGTAAACTTGAAAGATTTTCATTAATTTATTTTTTTTATAAAATAAAATGCAAAAAGATAACTGCCACTGTCGGTCCAATCCATAGGAGTGTTTCTGATATTTTGTTGGCCTGTCCCCCTTCCCATACTTGGTTCTTTGCCTGTGTATTGGGTACCGAAGGCGTTAATTGTTTGTTTTTGTTGTTGTTTTTTTCCACCCCATTTCATTTTGAAGATTATTTTGTTGGTTTGTTTTCTGCTGTCCTGCCCTTTGTATGCTCATGTCACTCCTTGAGAGAATGTTTCAATAAAGATGTGTTGCATTACCTGCTTGTCTGCCGCTGCTTTCTTTTTGCTGTCCATGCTCGGAAATCCTCTCACCTGTTCTGTGACCCTTTGTCTGCTAAATTGTTGAAGGTTGACTCTTTCCTTTAGTCTTCTAAGGGGGAGGCAGGTGATTGGTCCGCTTATCAGTTCGTTTTTCCTGCAAATCTGCTGTTTGCTTTTCTGCCTTGTGCGTCACGCACTGTAATATGATCCTGCTTTCCAGCAAGAGTAATAGTTGAGGGATAGTTCACCCATAGAATGATCATTCAGTCATTGTTTACTTACTGTTCACTTCTTGAAAACCTATTTGAGATTCTTCTTGCGATTTCTGTTAAACGTAAAAGAAGATATTTTGAAGAATGGTGGAAACCTGTAACCATTGACTTCCATAGTATTTGTTAATCTTATTAAGCGAGTCCGTGATCTTCAAAATATTTTCTTTTGTGTTCAACAGAAGAAATAAACTTAAGGTTTAGAACCATTTGAGGGTGAGTAATGGAGTCTGTTTTCAGTTTGGGGTGAACTGTCTCTTTGTTTTTAACTGGTTGTAAAAGGCTGATGCTACAATCAGTGAAACAAGCTAAAACATTACAAATCAGTCTGTAGCTGATAAACTTTTATTTGTTTGTTTATTGATTCCTTGAAGCATAAAATGCTATGCGTGCAATGTTTAATACTGGTGTCATTTCTATACAATGAAAGTGAATGGTCATCTTGCCCAAAAATGGTATTGGTATATCTTAATGGTGTATTTTTTGGCTACTTTGATTTTCACAGTTGATCCTTTACTTTCATTCTATGTAAAATATCTGCAAGAACATCTAACATAATATTTCCTTTTGCTGCTAAAAGAAAACTATGTGTGATATTTTGTATTTGAGTGACTTAAGAAAAAAAACCTTAAATGGTCCCTTTTAAAGAACCTGTGTGACTACTGAACACGAGCAGCCTTTCAGTGGATTGTACATATAATTCCAGGAAAGCAAAAGCAGGTTTTTACAAGCAATTAAATAACTGTGTCATGTGACCATTTTAGAGAATCATTAAGTGTAATTATGATGCCACTGGCGTTTTCTCTCACTGCTATTTAAGATGGCTTAGGTTGATTAAATTTGTTTATTTTATTTTTTATAATATTTTGCTTTGATTTATTTATTTAGTCTAGTTAAATGGATAGATCACCCAAAATGAAAATTCTGTCGTCATATACTCACCCTCAAGTGGTTTCAAACCTTTGAGTTTTTTTTTAAATGTTTAGAAAAATGTTGGAAACTTGTAACCACTGACTTTCACTGTATCTGTTTTTCAATGGTTATAGGTTTTCATTTTTCTTTTATATAATGTTATATAAATATTTGGAACTACACGAGGGTGAGTAAATTGCCATTTTTGGGTGGGTTATAACTTTAAGAAGAAGAATAAGACTTGAAGAGTTCATATGCAAAAACCTCTAAATGCCATTTGAAATTTCCTTCAATAACAAGCATTTTTCTCAACCCATGTTTGTTAAATTATTTCACTTTTTACAGATGCTAAAAATACCCTATTCATCCGTCATTGATGTACAAGTGAATTTACTGAACCTACTCACATGAGCCTGAGAAAAATGCTTATTTTAGAAGAAATGTTTAGATGGCATTTAGAGGTTTTTGCATCCGAACTCTTCGCTTGCTCTGTACACTAGTGATGTAAGAGTATTTGAGGGCTATAATGATTATGATTTCTGGAGCTGTTCATGTGAATCTATATTTGTAAAAAATAATCATAATATATGGTTTAAATTTGGTTTTAACTCATAATTATACCATATGAAGAGTTCAGATGCAAAAACCTGCAAGTGTCGTCTGAAATGTCCATCAAAAATGAGTATTTTTCTCAGACTCCTATGTTTATGTTGAGTTATTTCATTTTAAAGACCTTTAAAAGAGTGTATTATTTGCCATAAATCTGAAATGACTAACCCTACACACAGGAGCCTGATAAAAATACTACTTTTTGAAGGAAATTTCACACAGCTTTTGGAGGTTTTTGCATCTGAACTCAGTGATTTATAAATGCATACAATTTAAAAAAAAACACACACACACAGAAAGTGTTGTAACTGGCACTGAAATCACTGAATGCAATTATTTGCATTGATTTTCTGATGTATTTGGGTTTCAGGACGAGGGGGATCATATCGGTCCAGCAGAGGAATGGGTCCCATGGCTGCCCAGCAAACCAGCTAAACCCAGTCCATTTATCCATTATCAGCCCTGTTCCACCCTTTTATCTCCTCCATCCGTTTGGACTCTCAAACATGAGCCGTGCCACTCCAGACCATGTAGTTAGATGACTGCATCTTAGCAAGTAAGGACACAAACGATGGTTTTGGGAAACCGATATCAGAGACTATAGCACTCCCAGCACTGTACTCTCAAAAGCTTTCTCTCAATCATATGCTATTGCACAGCCTTTACACATTTGAGACAGAACACGTGCCTTTGATTATGGGTGTCTGGATTTTAATTGGTGGAATGACGACTTGCGTAGTAGCTGGAATGGCCACTAGATGATGAATGTGAAGTACACCATATACCAAAGGCACTTCGTTTTTGGCCAAACAAACTGTTAAGTGAATGTGAAGAATTTACTTGTACGTACTGTATTGCAACGTGATTTCTCTTTCTTTATTTTGGCTCTGCCAAATGGTTTACAGGAAATGCAATGTACTGTATGTGGCTGAATGACTGCTTCATTGTATTTCTTCCAATTACTGTTGATTTAGACTAAATGCTAACCAATAAATGATTTTTGAAGATTACAACACTTTAAAAGTTATTCCGCACATCGTTGGTTTGATGATAGATCAGAAAAAAAAACTACTCCTCAATTCAATTCACCTTTATTTGTATAACGCTTTTACAATATAGATTGTGTCAAAGCAGCTTCACATAGACAAGTATAGTGAATTGAAGTATCAGTTCAGTTTTCTGAGTTTCAGTTTAGTTCAGTGTGGTTTAATATTCACTGATGAGAGTTCAAACACTGAAGAGCAAATCCATCAATGCGCAGCTCTACAAGTCCTGAACTATGCAAGCCAGTGGCGACAGTGGTGAGGAAAAAAACGTCTCAGTTGGGCACAACCATTTCTCCTGTGGCCAAACGTCTTGTGCAGAACTACAGTCTAGGTGCCAGGGACTGGAGAACACTGGACATGAGCAAAAACCTTTCTGTCCCTGGAGACTCGCAGGAATCAGATGCATGCTCTACTTCTCCATGACCACCACAGCAGCTGCTCAGGATACGGCCTGGTCCGGGATTCTGGAAGCCTTGGGATCATTTCTTCACAGGTCTTAGATTGCATCAGCGGCACTGCATAGTCTCTGGTGAGTATCCCAAGGTGGAAATAGAAAATCATTCGCGTAGCTGCTGTTTATAATGTGTGTGTGTCTGTATATATATATATATATATATATATATATATATATATATATATATATATATATATATATATATATATATATATATATATATATATAAAGATATGTGGAGCACATTAATGCTTCATACCGCTAAGTGATGCACTGAGTGTATGCTTTACTAAAAACAATATGTATTTAGTTTTGAACTGTGAGAGTGTGTCTGAACCTCGGACATTATCACGAAGGCTATTTCAGAGTTTAGGAGCCATAAATGAGATGGATCGACCTCCTTTACTTGACTTTGCTATTCTGGTTACTACCAGAAGCCCTGAGTTTTGAGATCTTAAAGTACGGGTTGGATTGTAGCGAGACAGGAGGTAGATAAACAGGAGCTGGATTATTTAAGGCTTTATAGGTAAAAAGCCGCATTTTAAAATCAAAAGGAAACTTGTCTAAAATGAAACTTTGCTGCTGATTTGCTCATCCTCAGGCCAACAGGAACCTTAGGAGACATTTTGTCTTTAGTAGGACATTAAAGAAAATTTTGAACTGTAAACATGATACTTGGTGATTTACAAAATGCAAGTCAAGTGACTATTAGCCCTGTGAGACATCACAATGCGCATGCAAGCAAACGGCCGGTCATTATTTTAAATGTGTTTCCTCAGTGCACTCACAGTTGTCTGAAGAGAATGTTGGATGCTGCTTTTCAACATTCTTCAAAATAACTTGTGTTGCGTTCAGCAGAAGAAAGAAACTCAAACTGGTTTGAAACAAGTGGAGGACGAGTAAAAAGCTATTACTATCCACATAATTTAAAACGTCATGTATAAAATTGCTGAATTAAAGAGCCAAGATGTCTATACAGTTTAAACATTTTCTTAAATGACAACGCAAAAAAAATGCATAAACTACAATGGAAACACATTTATGGAATTAAATCCAGTATGCGCTTCAAAAAAGTCATGTGTGTTTGATAAAATATAGTCTGATAGGACCGCTTTAAAGAGCCCCTATTATGCTTTGAAAAAGGTCGTATTTTGATTTTGGGGGGGTCTCCAACAACAGTCTGATATGGATGCCAGGTCAAAAACACTTTTATCATCTTATATGCATTTATTTTTACCTATTTATCCCATCGACTCCCATATGATTCGTTCACCGATTCATTTCTTCCCAAACCCCTGCTTAGCATGAGGCTAATTTCCGCTGATAAGGCCGACGACCCAGTCTGTTGTGATTGGTCTAGTGCGTTCATCATGAGACAGAGAGAAATGCCCAACACGCTTATGAGGTACTCAGAGCACAGAGAATATGTGTGACCCCAATGCAGGAGTGCAACAAAGCAATGGAGTTAAACACCAGCAAATTCCTCTACTCTTAACCATAACCCTATGTAGTAACAACAACACACATTCAGTATTAATCCACACAGTGGTAAAAGTTGAACTATTTTGAAAATTGAATGCGCCATGTGTGTGAGGAACAGCTGATGGTGGCCATAGAAACAGATAGCAGAAGATCGTGAGCACAAAACACATTTAAATCGGTAAAGGAAGAAGCACGCGTCACACTTTCAACGTGATTTTGAACAC